ANGAAGGTTGCGTTACGACAATCATCTTATGGAGTGAGAAACGATTCATGGTAGAGATAGGTTTGCATATAACTAGAATTGATGCGGTAAATGTACAAAGGTCTGGTTGATATTCATCAGCTAATGATTTTACATGTTCTTGGGTAGGGTAACCAAGTCTACTGCAAATATCCAGACTAATATATGAGGAGTGGAATAAGGTTCTGAAAAAAAAGAGGAATAAAGAAGACGGGACGAGGAGCGGAACAGAAAATACGTTTATAGATAAAACAAAGGTATGTTTACTCAGACTTTTTTAATGTCATTACTGTACACCTGCACTTATGTAGGTTAATGAAGACAAATTATTGGTGAGATAACTATTGGGAAGTTAGATATCGAATCGTACTGTTTGTAGAATCTTTTATGAATGTTTTGTTTTCTGGAAAATCCCTCCATGTATATATATTTGTGTTATGATATGACTGACTCTTTCTACTGACATTTTGGTACTCTATTTAAGATGCGTTCACACGTGAAAAAATTGAGCGATTGCTTCGACGAAGGTATGATATGTAGTGTAACATCAAATCTTAGGCAGCTACCATTAAGACATATATATCAGTAGGTTAAAAGGATCATTTGTTTCAATCACAACCTACTCGCTTCACCATGCTGCTGAACAAGATCTGAATAAAGAACTACTACAATGACATTGCTGGGTTTTGGCGCGTATCACGATGGTCGGAAGTAATATTTAACACTGATAAGGTCTTCTTTTCCACGTGGTCTCCGTTACCCTGACGGTACGGTTAGTCTTGATGATTTTTAATCTGCTCGTGATAAAGGATTTAATACATTGCAATAATGCGTCAATAATGCCGAAGTTAAGAAGGCTGTTGTTTAAGAGGTTATGAGACACCTTGTTGAAAGTTTTCTTGATACCAAAATACTATATGGTCACTGGTTAATTTTTGTCATGCGTGCTGAAAACTTCATTTATTAAATCGACCGGACATTTAGTGCATGACCTAGTTCTAATAAAGCCGCATTGTGAGGTCGCTGTAAGGCCATCTCAGAGAATGTGATCACAAAATGGATTTTTGATTCTTCCCCAATTACCCTTTTTGTCTCATGGGTAATATTTATTGGTTCATATTTTCAGATTAGGCTACTCAGCCCTGATTTCTGATGAGAGACGTGTCACTTTCCAGGCTTTGGGTTAAGTGTTGGCCTCTAAAGATAACAGAAATATTCTGAGCACATTTGTTTCCACCATTTTATACAGTAGGGATTGTATTTTTTCCACACCAGTATTTGAATTGGGCTTGATATCACTAAGGTCAAAGTTGATGGTAGTTAGATTACTCTTGTAGATACAGTTAAGAACAGTATCTGAGGTACGAGAATTGTACCGGTTTAGGAGGAACCATACACTTAAATATTCACAAAGAACAGTTTCGTCATAACTATGCTCTCCACCATTCAGTTTGTAATGAATGTTGTACTCTACAATCGTCTTTATGAGTGATTTTTAAGCGAAAGACAAAGATTTCATGAAGCTGTTGCACGCTAACGACGTTCCTATACTTGTCTATGTCTTTTGTGCTGATTTTCCACACATTCTATCACAAAATACATTTGATGCAGGATGCTTGAGACTTTTGATATGATGTATGTCCGTTTTACTATATACTATACGTACTATACGTAGCTCAGCCATGGTGTTTAGGTTGATATAAAGAGTGATTGTTTTGAAGGGTGTTGAAATAGAATATAGGTAGAGTTTCAGAGTTCAGAACTAGTAAGGAACTTTGTCCAGTGCTTAATGAGAAAGTCTAAGCTTTCCCAGTCACCAGATTCATGGTTTGTTTGTTGAAAACAAATTATTTCTGAGGATTTGTCGGATTTTACAAGAAACTGTGGGGTGCGCTGGACTAAATTTCTGATCCCCAATGAACACTCACATCATCAGTGCATACTTAAGTATTGTAATGCCGTACATTGGAAATATGACGCCGATTTGTTTTGAAGCACAGAAGACTGACGCATTCATAATTAATGATCTTGAATGGAAAGACCAAAAGTACATTCATAAACTACGGGCACTCATATATTGATAGCGAGTTTCACCATTAATCATCAACTTTTGGTTTCCACTGCAAGCTCTTCAGAAGCAGAAAAGTAAAACTGCGGATGTAACGGGCCAGAATTATAGTCAAGAAAGTTCGAAGTCTGAGCAAACCAAATATACCCATATGTTAGTAATGATAATTCGATTCGCAGAAGCAGTTGTAATTCAGTCAAAAACATTGAGATCCCCTTATAACGCTGGAAGTTAGTCAGGAAAATGGTGAGGTATTTGCCTATCTGTATCTTCAACCGAATGTTATAGGTGAAATCACATAGCAATACAGACATAAATAAAGCTACACCATATAGAACCAGAATTATCATAGCTTCATCAAAAAATAACATTGCTGCAAGTCACCACTTGATAGTGGCCAAGATGAAGCTCGAGCTGCAGAGGCCTTGAACAACTAGATTAAGAGCATGAAAAGAGTTAAATTTAGCGTTTCTTCGGGATTCTGAAAAACTCAACGTTAATGGCACAATGTACTTAATTGCAGGGATTTATGGAACCCCGACCCAGTATCAAGGCCCAGAAAGATGAACTGACTGAGGCAATGCTGCAGATGCTTCTCCTCAGGTTCGATGAAATGGTGTCACCTGGAGATTCCAACACTCCACCTCTAAAACAGAGTATAACGCCCGCAGGTCAGTCTCAAAAGCTACTCGAAGCAGCCAGCAGAAGCTCTGAGCTCACTAAGCATGAATACTACGTCACTAGATGGACTAAAGATGAAAAGCCCTAAACTTGGATTATCTGTTCACATATGATCAGCTAATAGTAAGTCGAAATAAATATATATCTTCGCGGGATTACTAAGGTAAAGTCCGATAATCCAGAAGTCAAAGAAAAGACTATTCTGGATGAAGAAGTAAATTTATCGCTAGCCTCGTGATATCGAAATAATATCGAGATTAAAGTACAGTATCAGCTAACAACAAGCGAGGAGAGGGGCGGAAAACGGAATGACACGATTGGCGCACGAGAAATAATCTTTAGTCTTTAGATAAACAAGAGGAGTACATTATAACAATTGTTTTCAGAATGAAGTACAATGATAAATGTTTATATTTTAGCAAATGTGTTGTCTTCGTAAAAGTATACCACTACAAGCTCTTGGTCTAGCGTGTTCATATCCATGCACCAATAGGAAGCAGCAACAATGGCGCAGTCATATTTAACAAGCTTTGAGCAACAGATGCAATGCCAAGGTCCTGAGTGACAGGAGACACTTCTAGACGAGGCTAACAGTAAAAATACAGGCAATCCCAAAAATATCTGCTTAGGTTCATGACTAAAACAAAACCTGTTAACCGGGATGTTAGTACTCACAAATGTCCAAATGACGAAGACTTTAACAACACAGAGATGGCTGAGATCTCTAATGCCAACTTCATAAATCAGTTAAATCAGGTAGCTACATGTTCAGAGCACTATTCAAACCTAGTGCTAGCTGACGGCCTACGGGATATACGACTTGCACCTGACTTAGTGCTAAAAATATCCCTGATCCCTGGAAAGTCATCAGGATGTGACATTTTTCACTCTAAAGTCCTGAAACTCTAAAGAAGTTTTCAGTTCACCAGTTTGTGTTTTGTCCAGATATTCACTGACGTAGCACCAACTACCAAACGAATAGAAACAAGTCATTCTCTCTTGAATCCTTAGAGGAGGAGATGGGAAGGATCCAGCGTGCTACAAACCGGTGTCATGATAGAACGAAATCTGTCGAAATACCAGGTTACGAACATTCTGGCCAGTGTGACATGGAAGACTTAAGTTCTCGATGGAAGTCCACTATCTAATGTCTCCTCAGCGCTCGATCTCGGTTTAATAAACACAGTAAGCTTAGACACCAGTTCAAACCACACAGGGAACGCAGACAAAGCCAACTCAACTCTTCACCTTGGTACGATCATCTTGGAATCACCCTAGTCATTGTTCAAAGCATACTTACGCCCACACCCTGAGGTTCACAACGTCTTCACAGCCCCTCTCCTTAAAAGAAACTTATATCTCTTGGATCAAATGCAGAAACTAGCAACTAAATTGTTGATAGGGTTAAAGAAAGAACCCTAAGAAGGTAGATTACAGGTCTTGGAATTAGTCTCTCTGAGCTACAGGGGAGTCAGAACTGATCTGACAATGACGTATAACATATTAAGCACGTCGAATCATCTTAACATGAGTGTCTTGGAGAGGTATAACCACCACAACCATTGAGGTAATCCTTGAAAAATCGCGCATCAAGGAGAGAACATCCAGGTTGGTGCACACCTTTTCTCATCGAGAGTTGTCGCAGCTTAGAATGCTCTTCCAACCGAAGCGACCTCAGCGCCGTCAGTGGTTAGCTTCATGAAGAGACTTGATTAACACGTAATCACGTACGGATCATCATCTCTTCTTGGACCGGCTGTGTCTGATGCATGTCTCGAAACTTGCTAATTATTATTACTGCCATTTGCTAAGATCACTAACTGGATATATCTAAATTATCCCTGTTTTCTCTCCCTTGCTTACGCTTCGATCCTCTCGCACATTCGTCACTACCGAGTAACTAATTTATTTATCCTTTTTTTACTGAGTTCTGAAATCTTATTAGCATTAAAATTTTCTACTTATTATCCTACACATTGTAACTAAATGATCTTCAGCCTGGCAACATGATAGCTGCTGGTATCCAGAAACCCTAATGCCCTGGAACAAATGTACTCATTCAGATCACTGGATATACAAATTCATAAATAACTGCCATTTGACCAGAATTAGTGCATTTCAGTGGCTAGACTGTTATTCCCTTGGAATTAATAAATACCTGGAACCATGCCAAAAGGACAATAATCGAGCACGAAGAAATCAGTTGGTTTATACTAGCTCGGGAAAAGATATTGAATATTGGATGTTGGAGAACATATGAACCAACCCCAGTTTTTCGCGTGAGCTTAAGTTATATACCTGTTACTTGCGGTAATTCAAATGTTTACTAGTTTTGTGCTCTGCAGTCTTATCTACATTCTATCGTAACCTCTCTTTATGTGGTGTCTCACAGCTATTCATCATACCTCCCCTTTCACTAGGCCAGTATCCTCACTTTGGGTAGCATGACAGATTTCTACTGTATATACCTTGTGCTTATGTATACGAATGTCGAAATGTCCTATCTTCACAAAAATATAGTGTAAATGAAAGCATTTGAAGCCCAATCTGTGCTTCTTTTTAATTCGATGGGACTATCCATAATGCATAGTGTATAAAATAGTAGTACGATGATGTGAATACTGGTAATCTCTTGTTTAGTTTGTTGTAAAGCATATGCCTGAATCATTAATATGCCCTTTCATCTTTTTATATTTAAATTCTGAATCGTCATCTTCGATCGGCTTCTAATTCTTGTCATCAGAATATAACAGTAAGCGAAATGTTAGTGTAGTATATGTGAATCTGTTCGTGATTTTCATTTGATTCGTTTTTAACGAGATATGATTTAGTTTTGCATGCACCCTTTTTGGTTAGTTGTAAGTAGTCCATAAGCTTGTATCAAATTATCTATGTCAATGTAGTTAGTACGACAAGTTTAATAAACGTACGTGTAATTGATGCGTAACACATTTGACCTATAGAAGCTACCTCTAACTCTTTTCGTATGCTACTTCAGATATGGAATATTAGACATACATAACGTTGTGCTAAAGTAATTTGTCTTGTGCTTCTGAAACTAGACGCTCTTGATAACATTTTTGGTTACATTACATATTCCTCTCTTCATCATTTTCCAAATGCTATGAGAACACTAAGCAAGTCAGGAATCTAGCAGTGTTTCGGCCGGGACGATAAATCTGTTGTTGCTGATGTGTAACATTAAACCATTTTTATTGTGTTTTATGAATTTCCGAGTAACCTTACTTACTTACGCCAGTCATTCCTAGTTGAGCATAGGCTGCAAACCAGCATTCTCGAACCTACTTTGTCCACCGCCTTCCTTTCTAGTTCTGTCCAATTGTTCCTTCCTCTAATGTCTGTCTCAATTTCTCGGTGTAATATGTTTTCTACTCTTCCTCTTTTCCTTTGGCATCGGGGATCCCAAGTGACCATTGATTGGTTGATTGATCCCGAGTGACGGCTTGTCTTGCGACGCAGTTGGGTGTTTCCCGCAGTATGTGTCCTATCCACTTCCACCGTTTTTTTCTGATTTCTTCCTCCACTGGAATCTGGTTTGTTCCTTCCCACAGTAGGTGGTTACTGATGGTGTCTAGGTAACGGATCTGGAGTATTCCGCGTAGACAACTGGTAATAAACACTTGTATCAGCTAGTTGATGGTTTTCGTGGCTCTCCAAGTTTCCAACCCATACAGTAGCACTGTCTTGACATTTCTTTTGCAAATTCTGACTTTGATGTTTGTTGATAGTTGTTCTAAGTTGGAGATGTTCAATTGTAGAAATGCTGCTATTTCTTTACCGATCCGCGCCTTCACGTCCGCATCAGATCCACCTTACTCGTCAATGAGGCTGCTCAGATGTGTTACGGTTTTTACATCCTTCAAGGTATCTCCGTCAAGAGTGATTTGGTTGGCGTATGTTGTGTTGTATCTTGCTTTTTTCCTTGTGTATGTTGAAACCTGCTGCTACACTGGTCGTCTCTTGCTTTGTTGTTGCGCGTGGTATAGAAAAGCCAGATCATCGAATTCTAGGTCGTCCAACTGCATCTTAGTCATCCACCGTATCCTGTGCTTTCTTCTTAGATGTTAAGGTCTTCATAACACAGTTTATCACCAGGACAAAGAGAAAGGGTAAAAGTAAGCTACTTTGCCTGACACCGGTCTTCACCTTGAACTCATTTTTCAGTTTTTCTCCATGCACGATTATATATCTGAATCCATCATAATAATTTCGTATGATGTTGACTATCTTCTCAGGCACACCGTAGTGTTGTCGATGAAGCCTCCATAGTGTTGTCTTGAACACATTATCAAATGCCTTCTAGTAGTTATGAAGTTGATGTCGAGTGGTTAAGTACATTCAATTGATTGTTCCACGATGATCCATAATGTTGCAATTTTGTCGGTACACCATCGATCCTTACAAAATCCAGCCCGTCGATCTCGAAGTTGAGCGCCCATGGAGTCCATCATTCTATTTAACAACACATTGTTGAAGACTGCCTTGTATTGAGATAAGGGTGATGCCACTGCAGTTCTCACACTTGTTGAGTTCGCCTTTCTTTGGTATTTTGATCAGGTGTCCTTTTTCAAGTCTGTTGGTACTTGTTCTTCATCCCAAATCTTGTTGGAGAGAATGTGGAATATTTTTGCAGTTGCTTTCATTGCCTCTGCCGGAATGTTGTCTGGTCCCTCTGTTTTGCCGCTCCTGTTTTGTCTGATGGCCATACTATTCGAAATTGATTGGGAAGTCCGTGGGTTCTGCCTCAGTGTATTCAGTGTGGCAACAATCTGATGCTCCTCTTCACTAGCCTGTTTGATTCTGTGTATTCAGCTTGTGCGTTGGCTTTCTCTGCTCTTGTTCTGCTAATGTTGATTGCTACCTCCTTGTTCCTCCTTTCTTTAATCTTATCAAGAATATCAACAGAGATCCATTTCTTGTGATGGTACTTCTTGTCCTCCAGAACCTCATCACATATTGATGTGATTACATTCTTGATTCCTTTCCAATTATTCTCCATTGTAGAAATCTCTCCATCAAGCATATCAAGTAAGGCTTGTAACCTATTACTGAGGACTATCACAGTATCCTTATTCCACACTGTTTGACGATAGGCACATAAAAAAATGAACAGCTTGTAAAAGTTGTGGCATAAATGTTTGTCGTAGAGGACTGTTTGTCTATCTTAGCTTCAGACATCGCATAGAATAAAAGAATATGTGTTTTACTATTGTCTTCTATTATGCTCATGAACTTTTCTGTCTGAACAAAATTTACATTAACAGTTTTTCTCGCTTAAACTTACCATTTCGACAGTTATCGCTCCTATTTCTACCATTTATTCTTTATTTACACTCTAGAGTGGAGATAACGTTAGTCTAAAATATGTCTCGTTAGTCTTAAAATTTCAAGTAGTTTATTCACACGTTTTATTTGAAACAAATAATCAGATAAATGAATTGTGGTGACATAAACCTGTTTCCGATTTCCGCTTAAATTAACTTATGTTCTGATAATTCACTTTTTCATGTTTGTCCACAAAGCGAATCGACAAGTGTGGTTCAGAATTTAGACAGTGAAATTTTGACTCTATAATCGAGTTGCTTGAAACGTATCTTACTAACCAATCATATGGTTCTGACGGACTACGTTTGTTCACTACGCTAAACTGCTATTTTGCTCCGTATTTTTTCTTATTTTGTCAAAAAGAAATGGCGCCGGTGCTTTTATTCTTTGTGTTTTCTCAAATCCTAATCCCTGGATTCTTCAACCCCTCTGGTTTTGACTTTCTAAGCTTTTCTCACTGAATCACATTTCTTGAATATCTCATCCTAACCTCTCCGATTACTTCTTATACCTTTACTACCTCTTCTACTATTGGATTTGAATTGACGATTATATCTCTGTGCTGATGTGGTGTGGCAACATGAAATGATGTACTTACGTACGAAGTTCTACGTTGCATCTGACTGACTTATTTTGTCAACTTCAGTATTACCATAAAAAAGTCATCTCAACAGTAGATGTTTCGCATAAAAAACTTCCAAGAGGACACAATTTTATAGCATACCAAAGTCTAAAAGAAATTAAATGTTTCCCTATGAGTTCGGGAACTTGTTTTATCCGCCAATAATTCAATCCAATTGTGAAAATAATGAGACATATTCCATCTTTATCATCTCTTTTTTCAGCTATAATTGTTACAGATTTTTTTATTTGTTTTGATGTGGCTTTTCTTACAACCTGTTAAGTACGAATGTCTTATTTGTTTGCTAGGGCCGTATCATTTTTATCAACAAGTTAGCTTTGTTATTTGTCCTTCTGTTTTTTCTGCGACAAGTAAGTTGAACAGTCAGTATTTAAGCTAGTCGAGTTAACGAATGATCGCAAGGTTTTTTGAGGTACTTGCGTTAGTCAGTTTAAGTCAACAGACTTTTCATCTGAGTCATTGTCACCTTTACTAATTCAACTATTTTCAATTTTTCATATTTCACAGTAATACGCGTCTATTTTTCATCTCATGGCATGTGTCGTCGTACACGCTGGTGCGGGATATCACTCTAAATCCAAAGAAAAGAAATATAATAAATTGTGCTCTGAGGCATGTTCATTGGCTGCAAAACTTTTGTCAGTCGATCACAAAAGCGCCATCGATGCTGTGGAAGCAGCTGTAGCGTATTTAGAAGACAGTCCTTTAACCAATGCAGGAATCGGTAGTAATTTGAGTATTAATGGCTATGTGGAATGTGACGCGGGAATAATGAGTGGTTCTACTCTTCAGTTTGCTGGTATAGGAGCTGTTCGTAATATGAAAAATCCTGTAAAAGTTGCAAGGCTGTTGTTGCAGTCACAAATCGATCGCCCTCTGGGTGAATTAGGACGCGTCCCTCCATCTGTACTTGTTGGTGATGGTGCTCATCTGTGGGCTGCATCAAAAGGCTATTCTGTTGATAATGGTAATCTTGTCACAAAGCAGTCACAGGTTTCATGGGAAAAATACAAAAGTTGGTTATTTAATGAGAACAAAATACATGCGACTACAAAAGATTCCCATTTCGATCATCATGGAGATATTCCTGAGGTAAAAAGGTCTCGTGTTCATAGATTTGATACCGTAGGCGCTGTTTGTATTGATTTAGAAGGGAAAATTGCCGCAGCATCTTCTAGTGGTGGTATTGCATTGAAATATGAAGGTCGTTTAGGTCAAGCATGTACATATGGTTGTGGTTGTTGGGCAGAAGAACTTGGTCCGTCTTCCAGTATTGGGGTGGTCACTTCAGGTACTGGTGAACAACTTATAAGAACTCAACTTGCTCAGCGTTCTGCTGAACGGTTTAATGATAACTCCATCTGCGTTTCTGATGCAGTACATTCCTCACTTACTGATGGATTTCTAGATTCAAAATATCTTTCCTATGACATGGAGAAGTTTGCTGGAGTTGCCGGAGTATACACTAATTTCGACCGAATTGACTTTCCTAATGTAGAGGTGTTTTTTGGTCACTCAACGCGATCAATGAGCGTTGGTCATTATTTACCTAGTATTATGAAAAAGCCATCTGTCCACGTATCACGGAAACTAATTGATAGACCTACACACATAGAAGTTTTCGCATATACTGTTTAGTTATTCCGGAAAGCAAGAGTTAATACTTTTGTATCTAATCCTGAACATCTCATATGAATCTGTTAGAGTTGCTCGGTGTCATCAAAGTGTATAACTCTACTGAATGAAGATGTCGCCGCAGTTATCTCATGTGAGAATACTTTTCTTGTTTTAACCCATAGTTCATATCGGTTTCATTTTATTTATATGGATAACGATCTTCTAAAGCATCTTTGATTTCGAATTGCGATATCAGTTAATACTTATTAACCTTTTATATATATTCATTGTAGCATACTGTGATTACAATCGTAAACAATAATTACCACAAACTGTCACTTTTAGCTAGTATGTACGTAGACGATAATAGTGAGATACTCTCGATCATTTATTAACCTGTTTATCGATTGGTTACAAGAAGCTATTGTGACTTAATAGTTCATGACATATTTCTTGTGTAACTGGTCAATTTTACACCACCAATGAAATAATTCGTTCATCGATGACTTCTTTGTTTTATGAATCAAAGCTTATATTCTAGATTGTTAGTTGTCTTAAAATGGAAACTATGAAAATAGTTAAATATTTGTCAAGTTTCAGCTGTACGAATTATGAGCAATTTCCTCACAGTTTATTCAGAGTTTTCTACAAATGTTTCCCGTTTATCGACAGTTGTTTTACCTGTTTCTGTAGTCTGAAAGAAGAAATAGATTCATGCCTTTGATTTTATGTATACACAGAATCGTTTTTGAGCATATTCAACACAATATCAAGTACACTGTACATTTTCTCTGCTAAACAAATATAACCACCGTATTCTTCGTCATCCGTCGTAACCAGATTTTAGTTCTCCTATTCATTTATATATATATGAATTTAAGCGGTATATTGTATAAACATTTTCCCCTTCCTTTTTTTTGCAGCTTGTTATGAATGTCGGGGATAAACTTAACAACTACTCAGACTTGTAATAAAGTTGATCTAAAATCAGAATTTTTAACTTTGTTTTTCTATACGACACTTGTTTGTAAAATATTTAACAGAACCTTCATTTTTACTGAATAAATTATTTTCTGAACTGATGATGTTTCTGTTTCTGTTTCTTGGATATAACTATTGATGGGTTATGTCTACAGTGTAAAAATTAGAGAAATATATCTGTTGGATAATGACTGTGCTTGGTAAATGTCGAGTTCTATGTTTCTTCCAGTAGATGTAATGAATGATTTGAGACAAATTATAACTAATTTTCTTGATAGTCACGCATCACTTTAAGTTTCACACAAAGTTATAGCTGGTTATAATTATTTTGTGTTCAGCACAAACGCCACTGTCAGAGGACAAGACTGCATACCGTAGTATGCCTGGGAAGTCAGCTTCTCGTAGAATACTGTGAAGAGCCTTTATCGTCTATGGGATGTATTTATTTACTTAAACACAGACATTAGTACAAATGTCTATGTGCCACAAAAATCAGTGAATATTTGTGTGAGCTAGAACAGTATCCGGGTACCTTAACCGAAACAGGTGGTTATTATCATATAATCTCAAGTAGGGACCAACAATCGCATGATAACCGATATTTTTAGTTTTTATGAAACTCAAATCGGGTCACATCTGTGTTAGGTCTTTCATGCTAGACTGAACTAGAGTGAGATTTAGATTTTTATTGATACGTGCTAAGCTTAATGTATAAATCGCTCTAATCAAATCAAATGAGATTCTTCAGATAATTTCAAATCATGCCATTTAAAATGTGCTAAATATTCTTAAGGTATCGATGTGGTGGGTACTATTCGCTATGTGACTTGTAAATTGTATACTGCGGAGTTAGAAGTTAGACCAGAGAGAAAAAAAAACTGCAGTCAGTTGAAAGTCACTCCCTATCTCTTTGTGCAGTCCTACTAGCTGATTCGCAAGCGTTTTAGTGGCAGTTAGATGCATATAGTCTATCGTCGTTTGTGCGCTGTCCGACTAAACGGGACAGTAAGGATAGGGACACTCGCCGTTGCCTCTTCGTCATATCTGCCTATGCCCCCACTGACTGCAGTGCAGACGAGGTTAAAGACGAGTTTTACAGAAAGCTTTCGGACCTCCTCCAAAAAGCTAGGCGCTCTGACATAGTAATAATGGCTGGTGACTTTAATGCTCAAGTAGGTAGATTAGGTGAAAAGGAAAGACATCTAGGAGGATGTTATGGTGTAGCGACTGAGAGAACAGACAATGGCGACCGTCTGTTACAACTATGCTCAGATTACCGCCTATTCTTAGCGAACACCAACTTTAGTCACAAGGAAAGGCATCTGTTGACCTGGCGACCACCGAAGTCGTCTCAACGTTGGACTCAACTAGATCACATCGCCATCAGCCACCGATGGAGGGGTTCGATAGAAGACTGTCGCTCGTTCTGGGGCACATGTTTGGATTCAGATCATGCTCTAGTGCGAGCTCGTATCTGTTTGAGGCTTACTGGGCGTAGGAAAGACACCGTAAGGAAGCCTCTTAGGGCTTTACTTAATGATAATCAAACTAAGAAAATATTTCAGGAGCAACTAGAAAGAGAGTCAAGCAACGATGTAAGTGATTCCCATCCAGAAGCAGGTTGGTATGATATCAAAAAGGCTGTGGAAACAGCAGTGATATCTGCTAGGAAGGTAAACTATAAGGCTAGTATGAAGCAGTGGATTTCAGTCGCATCCACCGAACTGATGGATGCTCGAAAACGCATCCCACCTGACTCTGAACATGATGAAGAGCGTAGTCAGCTTAGGCACAGACTTACAAAAAGTCTGCGTAACGACCGCGAACAGTGGTGGGTGGCGAAAGCAGAAGCGATGGAAAAGGCAGCGGCGATAGGCAACACTAGACAACTTTTCCGCCTTATTAAAGAAACTGGTATTAAGAACCCGAATGTGAGTGAGACTATTTCGGAAAAGGATGGTCTTATTATCCATTCTCAATCCAGGAGACTGGATCGATGGGCAGAACACTTTAGGGATCAGTTCAACTGGCCGCGAGCCACTCTTCGGTTACCCACGATCTCCAGTCATCCTGAATGGCAAATCGACGTAAGTTCCCCTAGTCTTAATGACGTTGAGAAAGCGTTAGGAAATCTGAAACGAGGACGAGCTGCAGGTCCTGATAGACTGACCCCTGAGATATTTAAGGATGGTGGTCCAGTTATAGCAGCTAGGTTGACTGAGATCTTAGGTAGAATCTGGGAACTGGACGCAATCCCATTCGACTGGTCTCAATCACTGATTGTCCCGATTTATAAGAAAGGACAGAAGTCTTCTTGTGACAATCACAGGGGAATAAGTCTAACTAATATAGTATCTAAAATATTGGCCTCAATAATACTTCGACGCTTAACGAAAGCTCGTGAAGAGCAAACTCGAGAAAACCAGTCTGGTTTTCGACCTGGACGTGGTTGTATAGACCACATTTTCACACAACGACAGGTCCTGGAACAGACACACATTTAGACGTCCGACAATAGTTGGTTTCCTGGACCTAAAGGCGGCATTTGACTCAGTGGATGGTGAGGTTCTGTGGCAGTGTCTGTCATTGAAATGTGTACCAAAGAAGTACATTAACCTCATACAAGCTCTCTACTCAAACACCACTGGTCGAGTGAGAGCTTATGGCGATCTGTCACCGGAATTCTCTACATCAAGTGGTGTCCGTCAGGGATGTCCACTCTCTCCATTCTTGTTAGATTTTATCATAGACATGCTCCTAAACATAACATTATCCTCGTCTGAATTTTCAGTAGACCTTCTACCAGGTGGCTCGCTTATTGACTTAGAATATGCCGATGACATTGTCCTACTTGGTGAAGACGCTGACAAAATGCAGAGTCTTCTGACTACCCTAAGCAATAATGCAAGCATGTTCGGGATGCGGTTTTCCCCCTCGAAATGCAAAATGTTGCTTCAAGACTGGGTTGCATCGGCACCTGAACTAGTGATAGGCAGTGAAGTAGTCGAGCGTGTAGACCACTTCACTTATCTTGGGAGTCTCATCAGTGCCGATGGCCTGGTGACTGACGAAATCTCAGCTCGGATACAGAAGGCTCGATTGGCTCTTGCCAACCTGCGTCACTTATGGCGTAGGCGTGATATCGGTTTGCTGACTAAAGGACGAGTGTACTGCTCAGTGGTTCGCTCCGTCTTACTTTATGGCTGTGAAACATGGCCAATGAGAGTAGAAGATATTCGTAGGTTAATGGTTTTCGATCATAGGTGTCTTCGAAGCATTGCTCGTATACCGTGGGACAACCGAGTAAGCAACGCTGTTATTAGGAATCGGGTACTAGGTAAGAATGGCAGATCAATCGATGAAGTGGTGAAACTTAATCAGTTGAGGTGGTTGGGACATGTGTTGCGTATGCCGAACCACCGACTGCCCCGACGAGCTATGTTTTGTAGTGTAGGAGTAGGTTGGAAGAAAGTTAGGGGCGGCCAGACCAAAACATGGCAGAAATCCATGGAGTTATTGACTAGTGGACTGAGCCATGTCGGTAATTGTCGACTACCTGGTTGGGGTCCGCGAGATGATAATAATCGGTGGTTAGAGACCTTGAATGACATGGCTCAAAATCGTTTGCAATGGCGCCAGTGCATTTATTCTCTGTGTTCTCTCAAATGCTAATCTTTTGGATTCTTCAACACCTCTAGTTTCGACTCTCTAAACTTATCTCACTGAATCATACTTCTTGAATAGTATCTTCTAATCCTAGCCTCTCCGATTACTTCTAACTCCCTTTCTACCTTTTCTACTATTGGATTTGAATTGTCAATTACATCTCTGTGCTGATGTGGTATGGCGACATGAACTGATGTACTTACGTACGAAGTTCTACGTTGCATCTGACTGACTGACTATAGTCTATCAGCATATGTTCATCCAGTCGTTAGTAGACGATACCCTACATGTTAGCTGTCAAATAATACACAAAAATTTAAAAAATATGGCGAATTTTGAAGCTTTTCTGCTGTGGAAACATAATGGAGTTGCACGTGAGTAGTAATGCATACGTGACGCTGAACTAGCAATAGCTTCTTTCTGGAGATAAGTCTCAGATCTGAATGTACCGTACGATCAGTGTTTTGAAGACCATAAGACAGCTAATTATCGGCTTGTTTTGCAAATGAAATTCCGAAAATAAACTGTACACATCTTGTTCGTAATCTGTCTTTCCTAAATGCACTATTATTCCATCTGGTTTTGAAGTCTTCGTTCATTAGATCGGTATTAACAGGTTAAAAGTAAAAGATTCTGGGTAAAATTCAAGTAAAATACTAACAGCAGTAATTGATGAAAACTACTCTGTCACTAAATTTCTCTTCAATGATATTCTACAGCTGAACCCAACAATGCTATCTAAAGATAACGAATAACCGTATACTCCACTAATAAAAATTTAACGAAATTGGAATGTTAGAATATATATTTCTTATTGATTTAGCATTCATTTTAAATATTTATAGTTAAACTGATTTGGTGCTGAATACCCTGTTCATAGATTCATCATCGAAAACAATTAAGAGGAAAGTTATCTATTCTCGTTATTTCAGATATTATCGTCAGTCCCTTTTAAATTACCATGTACTACTGTAGAAATTATATGAAGTTATTGTCTGAAATAATAAATAAGATACTATTTTATGAAGCTTTCTAGAAGAAAGTGAAGAGAATCTGTCTTGAATTATACTTTTAAGATTCATAAACTGTTGTTTTATGCTTGGAGAGGAATTCGCTTCTTCTTTAATGCGAAATAGTGGATTTGTGGCTTGTTTTATTATATAATACCAGCCTCAAAAATGCTTAGAATATTTATTATCACTCTATTGATAGTTACAATTGTGAATACATCAACATACATCTTTCTCACATAATAGAAAAGTAATTCCATTTTATGTTTCTTATCATCATTTATGTTGTTATCTAAACCGCAGTTTGTGTACAATATCTGTTAGATGGAAACAGATCAGTAATCGTTTCTGTACAGTTAATGTGAGTTAGATTTTCTCAGGAAAACTATTTTCATTATCTACGTAATTGTGTCAATATTATCCCTATGTGTTAACTATTTCCAAAATTTACAACATACTGATCATATTAAAGGCAATTAAGTCGTAAGAAATTTATATCGTAGCCGGGAAGAATTTCAAACTTAGCAGTGTCATAATCCCTAATGTCTGCAAGCTTATTAAACTAGGAGAATAGAAACTGTAGTAAAGAAGACTTAAAAATACATAATTTTGCTTGGCAATGATCTCACATATCTTTGTACTAAGAGCTGCTAAGGCTTTATCCTATGATCGTTTAACTTCATAAGATATTGATTCATGACTACTTTATCAAATATTTTGTAATTATGTGAAATATGATAAAAATTTGAAATTGTCTCATAAGTGCTTAATCATATACATACACTTAATAACAGAGGAAGGAGTGAATAATCCGATGACTCACTAAATTTGTTAGTTATAGCAGCCTAATTTTGTCTTCGTTTAAGTGGTATACATCAGTTGAGTCATCGATTAGTTAGGTTTATTTAAATTTCATTACTGATCAGATAGTTTTTTTTTGAATTATAATTACTCTCTATCCGATCACACAAAATGCATGAGATTATCGATGCGAAACAGTCGAAAATAGCCACAATAATGAATCCAATATTCCGAAGTATAAAATGTATCAGTAAAATATCACATAGCAGACTGTAATCAGAATTAATTGTAATTTTAGGTTATCAGTATTTGCTATGAATATTCTTACTAGTGATGATGTTTAAAATTTAGTTATTTAATAAATAAATTACTGTCATTGAAGTACAGGTAACATATTTTAGTGATTAACAGTTGTGATGTATAATCTGTCCCACTAATTATCTGCCTTTTTTGCATAGAAACTTTTGAATTTGTCAATAATTTCTAAGATCTGACTAGAGAATGATTTTAATTCTCTTTTCACTATTACTATACAATATTGATTAGCTCTACAGCAATGCACTAAAAGTATTGAGAATATACTTCATCAGGTTTTACATGATATCTATGTCGTAATGATTAGGATAAGCCTTGAAAATAAGTTCTTTAACAGTTTTAATATTTAACCGCTTACAGAAAATTTTAGTAGAATCAATTGAAAATAAAATACTAGGCGAGTTGCTAAAAATATAAATTCATATCAGTCTGTAGATATTCGGTGGGATAAAAACAAATGTATACAATAATTAGCATTTAGTTTGTAATACAATGACTGGTAGATTGTACGGTACTGTATGACAGTTACGATAAGTTATTTTTCACAAGCAATAGTGAAGCACAATGGACAAATATGTCCTGGATGCAGTTGACTTAATTCTGAAAACTAATGTATAACGGTTAAACATCATCGTTTTAACTTACTTACTTACTTTCGCCTGTTACCCCCAATCGAGCATAGGCCGCACACCAGTTTTCTCCAACCAACTCTGTCCTGGGCTTCCCTCTCCAGTTCTGTCCAATGTTTGTTCATTCCTCTCATATCTTTCTCTATTTCTCGGCGTAGTGTGTTCCTTGGCCTTCCTCTTTTCCTTTTGCCTTGAGGGTTCCATGTGAGGGCTTGTCTAGTGACGCAGTTGGGTGCTTTTCGTAGTGTATGTCCTATCCATTTCCACCGCTTCTTCCTGATTTCCTCCTCCATTGGAATCTGACTTGTTCTCTCCCACAGTTCGTTGTTGCTGATGGTGTCTGGCCAACGAATACGAAGTATTTTGCGTAGACAACTGTTAATAAACACTTGTATCCTCTGGATGATGGCTTTGGTAGTTCTCCATGTTTCCGCTCCATACATTAGAACTGTCTTGACATTTGTATTGAAGATCCTGATTTTGGTTTTGTTTGAAAGTTGTTTGGAGTTGCAGATATTTTTCAACTGTAGAAATGCAGCCCTTGCTTTGCCAATCCGCGCCCTCACATCTGCGTCCGATCCACCTTTCTCGTCGATGATGCTGCCAAGATATGTGAAGGTGTTAACGTCCTCCAAGGCATCTCCATCAAGCGTGATTCGGTTGGTGCATGTTGTGTTGCATCGGAGAATTTTGCTTTTTCCTTTATGTATGTTGAGACCTACTGCTGTAGAGGCTGCTGCTACACTGGTCGTCTTCTCTTGCATTTGTTGTTGAGTGTGCGATAGAAGAGCCAGGTCATCTGCGAAGTCCAGATCGTCCAGCTGCGTCCTAACTGTCCAGTTGATACCGTGCTTCCCTCCAGATGTTGACGTTTTCATAATCCAGTCGATGACCAGGAGAAAGAGAAAGGGTGAGAGTAAGCAACCTTGCCTCACACCGGTCTTCACCTCAAAAGAGTCTGTCAGCTGACCTCCGTGTACGATTTTGCAGTTGAATCCATCATAAGAATTCCGTATGATGTTAACTATTTTCTCAGGCACCCCGTAGTGTCGAAGAAGAGTCCACAGTGTTTTCCTGTCCACGCTATCGAATGCTTTCTCGTAGTCGATGAAGTTGATGTAGAGTGGTGAGGTTCCATTCAATTGATTGTTCCACAATGATCCGTAATGTAGCAATTTGGTCAGTACACGATCGATCCTTACGAAATCCAGCCTGTTGATCTCGAAGTTGGGCGTCTACGAAGTCCTTCATTCTGTTTAACAATACTCTGTTGAAGACTTTGCCTGGTATTGAAAGAAGAGTGATGCCTCTGTAGTTTTCACACTTGCTGAGATCGCCTTTCTTTGGTATTTTGATGAGGTATCCTTGTTTCCAATCTGATGGTACTTGTTACTCATCCCAAATCTTCTTGAAGAGGATGTGAAATATTTTCGCGGTTGCTTCTACATCTGCTTTCATTGCCTCTGCTGGAATGTTGTCTGGTCCCGCTGCTTTGCCGCTCTTGATTTGTCTGATGTCCATACTGATCTCCTCAATCGTAGGTGCGCCAATATTAATTGGGAGGTCCGTGGATGCTGCTTCGATGTTGGGTGTGTTCAGTGGAGCTGGTCGATTCAATAGTTCCTTAAAGTGCTCTACCCACCTATTTCGCTGTTGTTCAGTGTTGCTGATTACTTTCCCTTCCTTGCTTTTCACTGGTCGTTCTGGTTTACGATAGCGGAAACTATCGTTGTTGTTTCGTACAATTGTCTCAAGTTTCCGTCTATTGCAGCCTTTTCCGCCATCATTGCTAGACCTTCCAAATTTATTCGTTTGTCAGCTCTGATGCTCTTCTTCACTTCCCTATTTGCTTCTGTGTATTCAACTTGTGCGGTAACTTTCTCCGTTCTTGTTCGGCTGACACTGACCGCTGCTTTCTTGTTCCTTCTTTCTTGAATTTTTTCAACAGTACCAGCAATGATCCATTCCTTGTGATGCTGCTTCTTGCGACCAAGGACCTCCTGACATGTTGAAGTGATTGCCTCCTTAATCCCTTTCCAATTGTTCTCCTATA